AGGGAGAAGCAGGCTTCCCGCTGAGCAGGGAGCCCAATGCGGGGCTCGATCCCAGGACCCTGGGATCATGACCTGAGCTGAAGGCAGATGCTTAATGACTAAGCCACCCAGGTGCCCCGGGTCCACATGCCTTTAAAGAACCTAAAAATGGTTCAATTTCAAGTACGTCTTCCCTTTGACATTCGGTGGCTTCTCTGAGATCCCTGGAAATAACAGGGAAGTAGTAGGAAGCCCGCTGATGTTTCCAAGGACAAACAGAGCTTTCCCTGAGGGAAGGGGTCTCGGGGGACTTGTCAGGGGGTTTCTAAAAATTGTATCAACCAGGAAGGTTTCTCCAGCAAGCCACATTTCACAGAGACCCAGGGCCCCCTGGTGCAGCCTTGGGCTCCCTCTCCAATACTTGGTTATTTCTGCCACCATCTCTTAGATGCTGTCCTATTATCTTTAATCCGGGATCCCCTGGGCTTCTGCTTCCCTTGGGTGATTGGGAGTATTTTCGGTTCAGTTCTCAACTTGCTGATCATGTCTGGGTCTTAGAATCTTACAAATTCTTACCTGGAGAAAGAAAATTTCCTTGGTGCAGAGATGTGCCTCCCCCCCCCGCCCCCCAGGAGTGGGTTAAATGTAAAAAGGTGCCAGCCCTCAGGAACGAAAAGAGCATGTGGTGTTTAAGAACGAAAAGGACCAAAGCAGAAAATAAAATGAGGATATGGAAGTAGCGCATCTAACACTTTCTGAGGACTGGCTAATTTATTCTGGGCAGCTCCTCAGCATAAAAATGCTTCTGAAGGCAGTCATCTACCTTTCTGTCCTGAGGGCTGGTGGAGGCCAAGAAAAATTGTGTGATTATGCAGAAGGAGAAATTTTTGGCTGAAGCCCTTCTTTGTGAAGGACACTCAGAAAACAAGGTTACAGGCAACAGGATTATTCCCCTGGAGAGGGGCTGCACCTTTGATCTGAAAATCCTTCAAAGCAGTGGGAAGGGAGAGATAAGGAAGGAGGAAAGGCCTGGAGAACCTAACAGTTCGTACTTGGGGCCATGCAAGTCGGGATCCAGACCAAAGTCCTGTAAACAGAGTGGTGCTTGCAGCTCCTTCCGTAGCTCTGAAATACATCACCATTTGAGCCCGTGATTCAGCCTCCGTGCCTCCATGAGAGTCCTTTGATCTCCAGTTCTCACGTTGCCATCAATGGGGTGGCAGGGTACAAAAGTAATGACCTCAGAGCCAGACCCAGGTCTGAAACATGGTTATCCCACATCTTGGCTGTGTGACCTTGGGCAAGCGAATTTCCTCCAGCCTCAATCAATTCCCTCATCTATAAAATGGGACCAAAAAAACCTACCTTGTTGTGAAGATTAAGGATATACTGTTTGCGCCCAGTGAATGCCAGGTCTCGTTGGTGAACCTTTTAAAAACTCCCCTTTGCTTCTTGAACACCGCCTGAGCGGGCTACGCAGGCGTTGTGTGCTTTATATATGTCATCGCAAAATTACATAGTGGCCATCCTGGTGAGCTGGGTGTGTGACCGTCACTTGACAGGTGAGTGGTCTAAAGCTCCGAGAAGTGGGGTCCAAGTTCATTTGGCAAATGGTGGAGGTGGGGCTGGAGCCAGGTCTGATTCTAAGACCCAGGTTCAAAACTTCTGCACAAACTCTGTCTTCTTGATATTTGCTTAGCAATAGAAAGCTCAGCAATACAAAGGTCGGAAGAGAAGGCACATCAAACACTTGATGTGGCTGACGGAGTACAACCCGCCCCGAATTAATGTGTTTGTTGATAATCATTTAAGGCCTGTCTTTGGCTAGCATATATTTGCACTGCGCTGTAGTTTGGGGGTTTTATTTATTCTCCATGTCTAGGCTTTGCTTCCGCAACAAGACTTACAGGTCAGCCTAGCCAAGCATGAACTGTGAACCCAGGTTAGGGCTTCTCTTAACCACCACTTAGGAGCAGCCCCGGGCAAGGGACCAAACTTCTCTGAGCCTCAGTTTCTTCCTCTGTAGAAGGAGCTAGTGATAACGTTCTGCTGGTGTCAAGAATTAAAGATGAATGAGCTAATAAAAAAAAAAAAGTGGAAGCTATGGCCGATTGTGAATTGCTAAAGAAATGCAAGACTTGCTCCTATCCCCTCAGGGCTGGATGAAATGTCTGCTCATTTTTCTCCTGTTCCCAGCAGCCTCCAGCTTGGGAATGCACATCCAAGCAGTGCTCCCAGAGCTTTGCTGTGGTCCCTTCCCTCATTAACTCGTTCCGGGCGGCAGCGAGACTCACCCCCTCCCTACAGCAGCACTTAGGACGTACCACCGATGCCTGCAACCTTTCTGCAAAGCCCTTCTTGCTGGGGAAGTGCGTTCCATCCAGCTCCAAAAGCTCAGGAGGGAGGACCACAGACCACCTCCGATCTCTTTCCTCTGCTCCTTGAACCACTGCACCTCCCTGTCCGGCAACCTCTGCTTCAGGGCATCCCCACAAGAGACTCTGCATTGCTGCCCAATACTCAAGGCACCTGTTCTTGCTGCTAGGGGTGCCCGCTGACCTCCCCTCTCATTTCTTCTGGGCCTACCCCAAACTTTACCTTCCCAGGAGGCTTCTCCTGAACACCTTGCTCTCCAAGAGCCTGATCCTTTAACATTTTTGTAGTGGTCCAACTCTCAATATGTATTTATTCCTCATTGAGATGGCTTCCCACACCAGCACATTCACCCTTCACGGGTGACCAATTCAGCAGCATTTAGTACATTCGCAAGGCTGTGAAAGCATCACCACTACCTAATTCCAGAATGTTTTCATCACCCTAAAAGGAGACTCCACGCGCATTAGAAGTCACGCTCCATTCCCGCCTGGCAGTCACTTATGTACTTCCTGTCTCTGCGCAAATACCTAGTCCGGGCATTGCAAATACATTATACAACATGTAGCCTTTTGTGTCTTCTTCTTCCACTTAGCCAGGCCCATGCATGCTGTAGGGAACATTCCTACTTTATTTCTTTTTGTGCCACACTTTGGTTATCCATTCACCTGCTGATGGACATTGGGGTTGTGTCCAGTTTTTGGCTGTTAATGGGTAATGCTGCTAAAACACTCGTATCCACGTTTTTGTGTGGATGTGTTTTTGGCTCTCTTGGGGACAGATCTAGGAG